CACGAAAACAACACTAATACTATCGTTGTAGATAGAAAAGAAAATTACCACGACAAATAAAAACGTGGTAACATTAAGTATTAAACAGCCGAATATTTTTCAGAGTCGATGCATGCGAATCGAAGGTGGAAATTGTAACTCCTTATTGGGCCAGCAACAGCGCTGGAAAAATTCGTGCCATTGTGAACACACAACATTTCGAGCAGGCCATTCACCAAGAAGTTTGCTCGTAAGTGTGCTTTCATACGCGACTTTACGTGAAATCGGAACTTTTCTTCAAAAACTTTCCTCTTGCAGGAAAACTCAGACAAACCGCTGTACTGGTGATTGCGGTTGCGAACAAAAGTATAAGTGGCACCGACTACTTGCGTACGACCCCGACAACGATTGCAAAGGTATCTTCATGGACTGGTTCCTCTTCCCTTCCTGCTGCGTCTGTAGATGCGACCCGGTTCCGAGCAAATTTTCCTCATCTAACAGTCGAAATTAACATGACTTTTTACGAGCAAGAGTCTCTTACACTGTCACGATCGAACTTGTGATTCAACTGCGATTACAAAGAAAGCTAGAACACTGTACGCAGATTGATATTGTCTTCGAAATGAAATTGAATTGCGGCAAGAGAAACTATCATCCTTTTGCTTTAAGCAGGTTTCAACAACGCCGTCGTTTCGATAGGATAAAACTCCGCCACATTTATTAAATTAAGCATAACATATATGTTTAATTGACGATTATTACATTTCGTCGCTAAGAAAATCCGCCTTATTTATGAATATAGTACTAGAAACTATTGGAGGAATTTCTACTATTCCCTTCCTACTGAGGAGCGTTTCTCCCTTTCTTTGTCGGATTATTAGGATTAAGTTATATAAAGAATTAAATAAACAGATATAATAGATTATAAATTAGAATAGATATCATTATTTTCCTGCAATACTTTTTGGTAATGCGAATTAGGGAAAATTTGTTATATTATTAGTTGTTTATTGTTATCTATCTTCATTTATTGTAAAATAATACTTATCAGTGATAAATTACGGATGTTTATGCATTTATGAGAAATTTCAAGATGCAAAAATGTACAGAACGCACATAACACACAGAAAGATATTGTACGTACAAGGTACCGAAAATAAAGTGCTGCTCGTCATAAAAATCTTCAAGTTCCATGTTTTCAGTAGTGTTTATAGAAATACGTATTTGCATAAACATTCACAGTCTAGTGATATCGTATTTAATACAATTTTTGTTACTAATTTAATGATCTATCGAACATCTATCAGCAGTGTAAGATCAAGGCAACTAATTAATAAGGAAAGGATAGCAAAAAGTAATATGAGAAGGAACAGATGCATATTAACACATATATTATGTACTATATTGGCTGTAAATTATAAACAAATCAGAAATAATTATGAAAAAAGGGTGTCCTTTGGTCATCTGAATTATGTGAATAATATCACAGCCCGGTTTAGCGATACATGTAACTAATATAAGTATAGTATGTCCTACTTAAACGTATACACACCATCGAAAGAGCGAAAAAAATGTTTTACGTAAAAGTTGTTTGGAATACGTGAATTTTTGAAATTCTTATTTCCAATGATTTGAATATTAACGCGATTTGTTATGTATTATAATATTGATGTCACTTTATTACGTATTTCACAACGAATTCAATAATGTTCAATAATATTTTCTCAATAGCTAGAGAAATGATAGGGTGCATCCATTTAAAGTAGACATACTGTACGTATAATAAACTCGCCATAGTTTTATAATTAGCAGCTGTGTATTTACGCGACTCTTGTTTATTTCAATTTTCGAATGACAATTACAATAATTTTTTGCAACTATGTTTTTATATATTATATCGTGTTATGAACATTATCGATGTAATAATGCTCGAATTGCTATTGTGATAATAGACAACAGCGTTAAAAAGAACAATGATATTTAAAACAGTAAACAAACTATAATACCATTTTCGTAAACCTTTTAAACGTAACGAAATAAGATAATCGTAATAAGATAGATTCGAATTTCAGTCAGTTTGTTTAATGGCAACGTGACAATACTAATATAGTTTATATATTGGCGATCAAAATTTTTCAGTTTCTATATCTTTATAAATACGTAATACGCATTTGTTGCTTTCTCCTGTTAATTACAGTCTAGTTTATCAGAGAGAATTTGCTTGTGACCGGCAATTTCGCTATGACCTTCCCTTGCAACTAAGATACTCGACGCCCTCGTATCAATTTAAAGCAGCATTTAAATTTTGGTGTATCAAGGTGCTGCGTATTTCGAATGTAAAAACAGGAAAAACTCGTTCCATGGTACCTTCGGTATGCTTTTTTATACGATAGACAAGATAATTACATTCGATTGAAAAGAGGCTTTTCTGCTGCGCAACCTTCGCGTTTTGTCCTCCATCGTTCACGTCGACATTTTTTTCCCTCCTTTAGTTTAATTGTAAGTAAATAAGTAGATATGCGCGGTCATTTAGTTGGAATGCGTATCCTGTTGTCACAATCTCTTTCTGACAATCTAGAAAATATAATTCTCAGTAATCGACGTTGTTACTTCTTTTTCGTCGGAGTAGTTAGATCATTATATTCATTACTCGTGTTTCATTGTTTCTTCTAGGATATGTATCTTCAAAGTCAAATACCGTGTAACGGATCTATATAATTACTAGCGTGTATAAATGTAATTGCATAGAAACGTTAAAATACGAATTAGAAAAATATTTATTAAGTTATGTACGCGAACCGCAAACAACGAAATCCAAACATACATATGTAACACATTATATTCCTATATTCGGTAAAATAGAATTTTGTACATACGCGAAATAAATTCTGATTATTATTCCCTGGAATTTTGTGCAGCGAAGAATTATTGCAATTATTGCGTGGAACGTCTAAAATATGTGATCTAACCGAGTTTCCTGGTCCTATATAATGGCTAACACAAGAAAATAATAATTTGGATCATTTAAAATATGTAGGTAGAAAAGGATAAAAGAATGACAATTTCCATGATCAAATAAAAGAATCGAAAACAATAATTAATTCTAATACTTCTTAATTATTATAGATATAGGAATATAGCTTTTTATATTATAAATATAGAAATATATTCATTCTCAGTGTTATTTTATTGAAAATTACTAAACGTTAACTGTTATAAAATTCGATATTCAAAAAGCAGTAACTAGACTGCAGGTGTTTGTACGTTTATGAAAAATTTCAATCTATACGTGCAAAATAATAGATAACATACAAATTATAGAAAATATTTAAAATAAAATACGAGTAATATATACGAGTAATACATATATATATACGATGAAACAAATTTCTATGTCTAAATTTCATTTCTTTAGTTACGTTAATAAAAATATTTGAATTTATATCAACATTTGTAATCTAACGATGATATCCCGACACAGGCTGTCAGTTCTTCATTTTACGAAAGTTGATGTAGATTAAATCGGGTTCTTCTTTCTACCAATTGTGAACACGTGTCTAACCCTACTTTAAAAAAAAAATGTAATTAACCAACACAAATATACCTCGATGGTATAAACGACACAAACTTACGATAATATGATACAAATTCTATTTAGAAAGCAACAAATATTCAATTCTTTTAAGTCCTACCTCCGCGCGATGATACTAAATTTCTGAATAAACATTAAACTCAGTTCTCTCAATTTTCAAACTAGCAGAAATAGCATTATCATAACCAAAAGCGACCGATGACGAATGATATTCCATTGTAAACGTCGAAGAACGTAGGCGTGAGGTATTTCGGTCATTTCGACCTCCGGTGCAAAGGGATTATTTGGCGGGCAATTGATTGTGTGAAAATCATGTATCAACATGGTGATTTCGGAATGTGCATTTCGGAGAAGGAAAAAATCCGCGTTGAGACGTGGGCCAATCACAGTATATCGCAAACTTCTTTCACCGAACGATACCAGCTTATTCTATGTGGGAAGAACATCACAGGAGCATAAATATTTTGTTTGACGGATGTAACTAGACTGCGGATTTTTATGCTTTCATAAAGAATTTGAAAGTGCGATATTACGCGGAATGCGCATGATACGAAAAAATATATAAAACATTGAAATTACAGTGCTTTTTATAATATTCGTTAGGTAAGACAATTTTCTATGAAGATTTCATTTCTCTGATTATGTTATGTATGTCTGCATACAATAAAAGTATAAAATGATAACGGAGCCATTTTTCGAAATAATGGTCAAGCGAACATTAATCTCAGTAATAAATAGGTCGGATATGACCAATTCTTTGGCACCAGATATCGTGCCACTCGTGGGGAATTTTGATAGAAAAAGTTTCTCGGATAGGTATTGAGAAGCGCGTGTTAAAAAATTAATATGAAGATTCGTAACGTCGATTCTGTTTAAAGGAATGAAAGCTTACCTTGATACTAAGTAAATAAAAGAGTTATTAAAAATGTCGTTTTGGCAACACATTTCATCGATATATAGTTAAAAGTGTAGGTAGAAAATGTAATGTCGATCAGATTAATGAGATGTCAATCGAGATTGGGATAACCCGTACGATGATTCTTAGATTTGATGTCTATATACATTCTTTTCTGTTATACGTTGTCATTTGAAATAAATATGATTTCATATGTTCAACTACGTTCAAAGAAATAAATATGGAACTTTTATCATCAAATAACATTTTTATTTTCATAACATAGATTGTCATAATGCGTGATCTATTGCTTTTTTTATAGAAAATAGTAGCATAAAAATAAGGAGATTTTAGGACTATTACCGAAAACTGTGCGAGTCGATAAAAATATCTCGTAATATATACAAAATAAATGTACAGGCAAAGATTTAAACGACAAGGGAACGTGTAAATTCAAATACAGTGGATTTTATAATTTTTATAAATTACAAAGGATAAGACGTTTGTACTTTATCCTAACAATAAGAGAAATGATCAACAACGAAAGCAAATTTATTCACAATGCGCAATCTAGTCTACAAATCTAATTAAGTAATAGAATTTTAATGGTACATATATAACAAAATGTTAATTTAATCAGACATTCGCTAAGCGCAGAATGAAAGAAAAATTTTGGATTATCCTATACATTGGACGGATATCTGATAAGCTAATTTTTTTTACTTGTTAGTAATTTTTTTTAACCTTAAAGTAACGTCATAACGAAAGAAATTGCAAGTAAACGCAAGATTGAAAAGACACATAGCAACGAATCTTAGCCCAAAATTAGATAAAAACGAGAGAAAGCAGTTTATTTATACAGATTTGCGTGTAATATGAAGAATATTTCAATCAATCGATCAAAGAATTCTTACTAATCGTGACGCGAGCGTGTGATCACGACAGGCAGAGGATAATTCAAATTAATAATCCTTTATTGTACAATCACGCCATACGTGTTGAATTTATATACACAAATTGTACAGAAGAGCTAATTTTATTTAAAGTAGTTTCGTACGAAGGTATAGTAATTAAATAGACGATTAGAAATTAAGTAAAGCTTTCAGCACAGTTACGCAACTACTGTAATATATGTCAACCGTTCTACTTACAATTAGTATGCGACTAACGAGGTATGCCTAACTATAAAATCTTAACGAACTGATCCTGATTACGTAGAACCATTTTAACATGACACTATTCATTATGCTAATAAGATTTTAAACTGTCTTACGCTTCCAGAACAGCAATTCTTTTAACTAATTAATCGATAGGTTGGCCAAATTGTTCTTATAATACAAGAAAATGATAAGGACATAAAGGTGACGAATAGTCAATAAAATTTATTTGCGGAACATTAATCGCGTTTCAATTTAGGGTCGTTTAAAATGGCACTCTCTCGGATAATTGCTCTCTAAAAGTAACGATTTTTATTTACGGGCTTGAATGACGCTTTGTTAAAGGATACCGTATTTCGATTGGAGAGAACGATAGCCGATAATGGCTAGAGCAACGACGAACAGCGATTGCGTAATCGACGCGCCCGTCGCGGAATTGCAGAGGTCAGTACTACAAATATGGCAGGACTCGATTATGTGTCGACCTGAAGTCATTGTAGTGCTGCAAGGACCATCGGTGATGTCTCCTTCATCGACGTTCAATGTAGAACACTGGCGTATTACTACTCGTTCGTTATTTTCTGCAAGCAAAAGTACTCGTTGGAATTTTCTCTAGACAATTTTGAAAGTATAGCTGATTAAATATTTAAGATATTATATTCAAGTATGAACGCAAGCAACGAGAAAAGCAAAAAAGCAATCCTGTGATTTATACTTAAACTCATGAAATTTCTATTAATCTTTACTAATACATATTGAATTACTTATGCAATATGTATCTATATTTTTTGAAAAATACCAACATATACTTATCAAATCTTCAATTAATAGCTTTAATACATTGTAATATGTATTATATTTTTCAACTAATATTGAATAGTCTTCTTTCAATTTCTGTAAATTGAAAAAAAAATTAAATTGTTAAAAATTAAACAATTCAAAAATTAAATCTGTTAAGTATGTTTGCACAGTATCATTGCGTTTGGTCGCTTCAAAGGTGCATACTTTCATACCTGATATCAAACATAAATATCTTGAAAACTATTAGTAAATACAAGTATTATATACTATATACATAATATATTATGTAATATATTATGTAATATTAATAAATACAAACATTAGAAAAGAATTAATTCATTGAAACTTTTCCTTTAAATTAAAACTTACGTGGGCGAATGCTAAATACATGGAAGGAAACCTCATACTTTTAAACGGAAACATATTTTTTTAACGTATTGATCGATGTTGCTGTTATTATTCATAAAATCATTAAGCTATTAATAAGATTACCCAGCTCGTGAAAGGAACATTAGATTAGGAGATATAATAATTTATAACACTTATATATAATATGTGTACTTTTTAAAATGACAAGCATATTTTTGCTAGAAAATAATACAGAAAGAATGAGACAAAAAGAGAGAGAAAGACGAGACTAAAGAGAATTCTAGACTATTAGTATGAAATGAAATCTTATTCGTCTTATACATCAGCTACGTGATAAATTAAATTATGCACACCTCGAAACCATTCAACTTTTATTTGAAATATTTTTCGTTATTGTCAGCAATTTCGAAAATATTCGAGATGATTGATTTGAAGAAAATATCCTGTATATTGATGGATGAGTTTTATGATGGTATAAAATCATGAGATTATTAGTTTCCGATGACAATGTGATATTGAAGCAAATTATTGTCAGCTTTGCAAGATTTGCGTACTACGTAAGAGAATACAAATAGATACATACGTAGTATACGTTTGAATAATTTCCGGATCGCGCTTGTGTGTACACATAACAAAATATGCTATATGCGACGTTTCCTTTTGTGTTTCTGTTAAAACGTAGTGTTATTTGAACGATATGGTGCAACAGGTTGTGTAACACTTATGATTCAAAGTATATGACGAAGTGGACTGAGGAAATAATTACGGTATTGCGCATTTAAATAAATTCAGATTTCTTTATAAACTGAACATCGGAGTCTCGAAAACGAGCAAAACACATTTTAATGGAGCAAATAATATGTAATCTATCTTTTTGATTTGAAACACAAGTAAAAAAATTATTGTAGCTATTGTTCACTTCGGAAATAAACAATTTAAAGCTCGAGATATTCCAAAACAAGGAATTATGTTAACAGATAAAGCATTTTTTATGTATTCTACTTACTTCTAGAATTTATATTTCATTACAAGATATTCTAAAATTTCGATAAAGTCTGCTGGAAAATGAAAATCATGCAAATGTCTATGCAATCAAACGATCGTTATTTATGTTGTTACTACAAACCAAATGCATTTTATTTTATTAAGTAACTTTGATTTTCTAAATGTCGTTGGCGTTATCAGTGAACATATTCATTTCGCATAATTTTTCGTGTTACACAAATTTTACTAATCTCTCAGTTATCATGCATGTATGAATATCGTTAATCCTAAGATTACGGTCACGTTAATAGGATTAACCTTGATATTCAAAATTTTACGACGGTGAATGATTTTTCTTTAACACGGGCGCGGTTTTGACCTTGACAACATATTATTATCGCGATTATAGTGTAGAACGTAGCAGCGCGTGCTGTGACTCACGAGTGAAACATAGTATGTCGTGGCGATTAAGTTGGAGACGATAAACACTAGATTATGATGTTCTCTAGTTTCACGCAATATATACACATATATCAAATACGTCATCCAATGTAAGAATATCGTACGTAATTGAGTAATAAATTGCTATGCTTATGACGAAACAGGATGTCTTAAAATATGAGCACATCCATGCAAATTCAAATTTCAGTCGCACTATATCAAGTCATTGATTGTAATAATTGTTATTATTATCACAAATACATTTAAATAATAATAAGTGTCTATATGCAGAATGGAAACGACGTGTATGATCAGTTAATCAATACTCGGCTACAAGAAAAAATGAATTGTGATCTAATTGTGATTATGATCTATTAAACATATACATATTTATATGTAAGTAGACATTTGAGTGAAAAACACAACAGTAAGTGTTTTATTAAATAGGAAATATTTTTACGTACGTAAGGTAGAGTAAACGTAGTTGCGAATAGTATAAATACAAAATTAATAAAATTTCTACAAAGAAACTTTTAATCACTTGCAGGTTAATTTGCAATTATATTATGAATTAAAAATTATATTAGGCAGTACACAATTTTTAATTATTTCGTTTTAGTATTTTCTAGGCTACATCAGAAATGTTTTTTGTAAAGCAATGTTGACAAGAAAAAATTATTTTTTAATAAATTACTCGTCAAACCACTTACCTCTTCTCACAATTTTCCTGCATACATGTTTTACCGGTTCGTAAGATCCAGTTTCGCAAAGTTTCGTATTAAACGCCGCTTGATGTTCTGTAATGTTCAGTGGATCACCACACAGTATATTATTATTGGAAGCGCAATCCCAACATCGTAAAGCTAAACCTATAACATATGTAAATACATTATTAAATATCAGTAAATATTGCATATGAAATGCGACAAAGTAAAATATATTGTTAAGCAAGTTTTCTTGCGTTATATCTTGAATGGTACTAAATCTCAAACATGATTCTTAAATATACGTAACATTTAATCAAATACGATTTTGGAGTATTTTCACATTTTTAGCTCTGTTTTTATTATATATTTTATTTATTATAACAATCAAATATTTAGAGAACTTTTCTAAGAAATTTTATGGAATGTTTTGACGATTGCTCGCTCTTCCCCGTCACCCCCCATACTATAACGGCAAATGACGGAATAGTTAAGAATGGAATTGCTCTATACAATTTGTATTATGTCATCGATACTTACAAATTATACGTATACATTAATCATCTGATCATCTACTAATTGGATATAAAATATGTTGCATATAATTCTCGTAAACTTACACTCCGTTTAAATAATCACAATAACAATTAATATGATTTTAGTTATAATGATTTATATTAATATTAATATTGATATTATATACTATAACATATAATATTAATGTTATATATTATTATATAATGTTACTTTATTATATCAACTACTCGTACTCGGTTTTTTATTTTACTGTGTTATGAGCATAACGTAGCGCGACATATAATAAACAAACAAATGACAGTAATAGGCTTAATATATCTGATAAGACGATAATAATGAACACACTAACACGAAAACAAAAGCAATAATTAAAATCGTCAGTAGAACAAGCGAGGACACAAGAATAGTAATGATCGAGTTTAATGAGCAAATAACGTAACATTCCACCGTCATGCCAAATAAATCATTACCTTTGTTACTCCACATTAGTTTACAAATTTCATTTTTTCCGAATATTTTAAATTCTTTATAGCTTGTTTCACACGAATCGATACATTTATATCGTATTTATGAAACAACTTGCCTTTCTTATTTCTTTAAATTACAATTCGTACAATTCATTTTCCAATTATTTTTTACAACTATCCTTTAAGGATAAATATAAGAGCCTTTCAATTTATATTCTACTCATAAATTTTCTGTCGTACCCAAACTATCGTTATTTCTAGCGATATCACGAATTTATTGCACTTCAACAATATATTATTAGATAATTATACGATACGTGGTTAAAGAATAATGCAAATATACAACACGTTAACTTATTCACTTCGCCTTAATTTTATATATCAAAATATTTAATGCGTATTACATTATATTGTTATATTAAGACGTATTCTACATATTACTAATTGTTTTACCTGATTGCGAAAGGACAACCAGACCGAAGATGACCAACATCCATGTTAATCTGGAGGACATGTTGATACTTCTCGGATCTGTATGGCTGCCGAATTAATCTAATCGATGATTACTTTACACCGTGAGTGATACAGCCGCTTAAGATGTCAAAGGCGATATCATGTGTATCCAGAAATAGATAGAGAGAAACTGCTAGCGTCACAGACAGTGTTCACTTCGTTACTGAAGAGGCAACACCCCCTTTTTGCCGAGATCCGAGAACATACACGCGGTCTCCTTCTCCCTTGCTCCCTCTCTTCTTCGAGTTTCTCCGCGCTTCTCGGGGCACGCGGCTAACACGGTCCAGTCCAATAACATATCGCATGTAATAACTCCGTAACCCCTCCGTAGATCATGCAAGCGCAAGGAAGTAGGAGTCAAGAGCAAACAACGAAAGGAACCTTTTAACAGAACGCAACAGACGAAACGCTAATTATATTCCAGGAGTGAGAGGGAGAAGGAAAGAGAAAACAACATTGCTCGGGGCCCTCATTGGACTCATTAGGACAATTACCGACCGGTTAAACGCTCTCTAGGGTCTTTCGAGGTTTAAGATGGAAACTGGAATACGCAATTGTTTAGAACTTGATGATTCTCAGATTGAGATATGGAAATCTGAACGAATTAACAATTAAATAACGTTAAGCTTTTCTCATAGAACACCACGTGCTGCAATATTGTTAATCTTTTATTACTAAACATGTACGAGTATCAGCGACTTATTATTATTGATAATCCAGTAATTAACACTTAGCCAACCGCGCGCGCCACAGCGAGCTATACGTTTCTCATCGCGCTCGGACAAGCCAACCTATATGCTGTCTATCGCACATTTTTCAAAGTATCGAGGATTAATAGTCACTATTTAAAAAACAAAGAAGTCTAAAAATTATTTAAGTGGTCAATTATATTTTGTGGTAATGATTTTATGTAACGATTTCACATATTGTTTATATACAACATTAAATTAAAAGTATATATTAAAAGTATAAAAAATATAGGTAGAATTAAAAATATTATAGGTGACTAAAGATAAGTAACACAACTAGAACGTGAAATTAAAAATTCACAATGCATTTTAATATTTTTTTATAATATGGTATAAAGACATTAGTGTATTTTATTATATATTGTACTTTATAAGAGCACAAAAAGTGGCACAATTAATTGGGAACAATTCCAGGTAAACAATAACTGATAATAACAAAAGAAAAGAAAAGGAAAACGCGTTGCAAAAGTAAAAAAGGGAGATCTGTTTGGTCGCAGCAATGTATTGTATTTTACAGACGGGATTTGGTTAGCTAAATTTTAAGATTGACAAGACTCTTGATATATTCGATTAAATTGTAAATCGAATTCAATGATTTTATTCCTGTTGCAATGACTTTAAAGTTTCATTGCTACATCAGTTGCATGAAAAACTATTGTGTATGTTCTCAATCTATTTTAAATCCAATTGGTTACAGATGTCCAATAACAGGATTGTAAAGTGAATTTGCCGACTTGTTAAGAAAGACTTGTCAGGGGTCAGAAGATCGTTTAACCCTGCCTGACATTACCGAATTGACTCGAGCATTTAACCCCCCCCTCTTCACCTAGATGCGTCAATACGTAAAGATGTGTACATCCGAGCATACACGATTTCATAAGTGTTGGTTAGAACATCACCATCATCGATACAAAGGTTACATCGAGTAGACTGTCTCCCTGTTCATTCATAAAGCCATTTAATTTCTGACTTGTAAGTCAACAGCCTTTTCCGGCCAATCAACATCGTCGTACTCTCTTTCAGAAATTAAGCGTATATGATGTGAAAACCAAGAAAACAATGCTTCGGTACGATTATCAAGAAAAAGTTACTCGCAGAGTAAGGAAAGTGAAACAGATGTAAATCTGTAATCCGAAACACTTTTCGACAATTTTAACATTTTTAAGGAAATAAAGATATATTTCGAAATTCTTGTGAATTTATATATAAGATTATTAATAATATCAAGCAGTTATATGATGCATAGAGAGAAAACAGTTTATTATTATATTAGCACTCTACTGACTTCTTGTTATTTGATTGCGCTATTAATTGTGAACTTATGATTCCGTTACATTATCCCGCATTGTTATATCGATCGAACATCGCTTATAAGTGTAAACATCTTTTAATTAGTTTCCATTAGGTTCTATCCAGTAGCAACTCTAAACGTCTATATTTAATATTAAAATTATAGCAGATTATCAGCCATAATGCAATGAAATACCGAAAAAGTTTAATTATTAGTGAGTCAAGAACATAACCCAAAATCGGGCTTGTAAAAAATCGAGTTAAGCTTATTCTATCAAGAAAATACTACAGACTAACAGGGAGTAAGATAAATATTGCAACATGAAGCAATAGGACGAAATATAACATAATGTAATAAAATATAACGAAATACAAAATATCGCAAAATAATATAAAGCAATATAGTATCAGGAAATACAATATAACGTAATATAATATAACGTAATGCTATATAACAAAATACATTACAATGTGATACATTATAACGTAATACATTTTCACGTAATACCATATAACGTAATACTCTATAACGTAATACCATATATAAAGTAATACATTATAACGTAATACATTATAAAGTCATATTATACGTTATAATGTTATACTATATAACATTGTACTATATAACGTTATACTATATAACGTAATACGTTATAACGTCATACTATATAACGATATACGATATGTGGATATAATACATAACATTATACGGTATAATGTAATATTATATAACGTTATACTACATAACGCAGTATGTTATAATATTATCACGTTATACTATATAACGTAATAGCTTATAACGATATGCAATATAACGTTATACCATATAGATATAACGTTATACGTTATACGATATAAAGTTATACGTTATAACGTAATAAGTTATAACGTCATACTGCATAATGTTACACTATATAATGCAATACGGTATAACGTTATACTATATAACGTTATAGCACATAACATAATACATTATAACGTTACGCTATATAACGTTATACGATATGTCGTTACACTATATAACGTAATATGCTCTAACGCTATACTATATAACACAATAAGTTATAACATTATTCTATAAAACGTAATAATGTATAACGTTATACTATACAACGTAGTACGTTATAACGTTATACCATATAACGTTGTAACATATAACGTATTACGCTATTACGTTATACCATAACGTTATACCATATGATGTTGTACCATATAACGTATTACGCTATAACATTATACTATATAACGCAATACGTTATAACGTTATGTTATATAACGTTATACTGCATAACGTAATACGTTATAACGGAATGTTATATAACGTAATACTTTACAACGTTATACCATATAACGTAATACGTTATAACGTTATACCATATAACGTTATACGTTATAACGTTATACCATATAACGTTATACTATATAACGTAATACGTTATAACGGTATGTTATATAACGTTATACTATATAACGTAATACCATATAACGTTATACTATATAACGTAATACGTTATAACGTTATGTTATATAACGTTATACTATATAACGTAATACGTTATAACGGTATGTTATATAACGTTATACTATATAACGTATTACGCTATAACGTTATACTATATAACGTAATACGTTATAACGTTATACCATATGGTAATATAACGTTATACTATGTAACGTAATAAGTTATAACGTTATACTATATGTCGGAGATGAAAGGACATCGAAGCCTCCCCTTTGGAACTTCGAGATAACCCCCTAACTCCGTAATCTAGATTCTATCATAGGCGTAATTAAACAATTGTCGTCTTTCGATCCGATTGTATTTGTTTGAGATTTGTGATAGTGAGCTTGGGCTCGAGGCGACAGCCAGTCGCCGAACGTGGCCGCGGTCATGGGATGAACGCTTTGTCTAACAAAGGTACTCATTAATTCTATAGCTCTCCTTAAAAGAAATATTTGTAGCGGCACGCGACGGTAAACATTCTAACGGTTTCTGCCCCGTGGCTCGCCACACGCAGATCCTATTCTTCGGTTATGATGGTTACCAGATGCCGACGCGTCTCCACAGTACGTGATCAGC